CCTCTTGAGATTNTAATATGGGTTGAAATAGAGTCTGTAGATTTTCCGTTAATCCGAGTTGTTGTAATCTGTTATTTTCAACTTGGGTCTTTATTTTATTCTTAGCTTTGATATATTCTCTATTTCTTTTTAAAAAATTATTCCAATCCGTCATTTTTAAAAAAATAAAATTAACATATATCGATCATAACTCTTTCTCCTGCAGGTTTTCTAGTATTTACAAATACATATCCATGATCATCTGGGTTTCTCCATTGAGCTTTACAAACCTTTTTAAATGTATCTCTGTCCATTCCGTGATTTATAGACTGAATGATTTGAGATAAATCTTTATCGTTTAATTCAAATAATAAAAAACAATTTGCATTTTTTCTAATGAACATAGAATCCATCCCGTAAAAAGATTGGGATTGGTATATGCAGTGACAGCTGTGATGTCTTCCTTTGGTGAAGAATTCTTGTTGAACAGTTTGATTTCTTTGCGCTACGCAGTCGTCAAACAATATTAAGTTCTTTCGATTGCTATCAATATTAGACAAGTCTAGATCATTAACATTTTTCGTAAGAAAACTTTTATATCCGTTGGATTGAAAGATGGATTCTTTGATTTAATGAAGTTTTCTATGATATCTTTTATTTCCACTTCTTCTTCGTTTTCTTCGTAATATTGAAATATGTCCTGAACATCTTTCTTTGGTAAATATTCCAAAGCTTTGAGGAATTGATAATACGATTGCTCTGGTGTTGTTGTGTAGATATACAGAGAAACGAAATCTAAAAGGTTTGGTGTTGTCAACATGTTAAAAGTGAGATGAGTTTTCCCAGAACCGGAACTACCGCATATACACATGAGCATTGGGTTATTAGGAAATATTTCCGAATGATTAAATTTCTTGCCCATTTTTATTTATTACATTTTCGTACCAAAAATCACCCGTTGCCTTTATACTTTGAAAGGAAGATCCCCTCGCCCGAACGTATGTTTTTAAAAAATATGGCGTCCCCCTTGTATTTGACCTTCATTTCTCCGGTGTCGATTTTATCTATTAATTTGCTTAATCCCTCTTTAACGGTTTTCTTGGTTTCTTCGCCAAATCTTTGTCCGAATTCTTTAACCGTCCCTAATATATCTCCTACTCCCGAACCTCCTCGTGCTTCTCTTTCCATTGCCAAATTGTGTCTACGCGCTTCGGCGTTTGCAGCGGCT